CGGTAACATGCATTAGTACATAGCACATATAAGATGTTTGGAGATGAAATCGCGTACCCTCAAAGAATGCTCGTGCTCGACGAGAGACGAAGACTGATCCGGCGAAGACACAGTCCGGAGGCGCGATTTCTTCTATTACGAGTGGGTTTGTGCCTCGGATGGCGTACGAGGATATATCGAGAGTTCCTCCTCCCGCATCAGCAACAATGAATCCATGTCCGGATGGATTCTACGCGAGAATGATCATAAATAAGTAGGCTAGAATGGCATTCGATCTCGCGCGAACTCACCGAAAGCACATCCGCAGCCAACCCATTCAACACACAAGCATGCAAACTCGCCTCACCCTCCGTCACAAACCTAATCCTCGCTTTGCCCTCATCAGTATCCGGGATCAACCCACCATACACCGCCGCTCTCCTCATCTTCGTCTGCTGAGCGCCCTCCCAACCATTCGGATGACTGAGGACAAACTGTAAATCATGTTCTACGGCATGCCAGAGTGCTTGACCGTTTGCGTGGGTGTCGATGATGAAGGAACGGGTACAGCGGAAGAGGTAGGAGAGGAAGTCGCCGAAGACGTCTACGGCGGATTTGTTCTTTGGGAGCGCGGAGAGACGCATGCCGTTCATTTTGAGTGTCATTGTACGCGGACGGAGGCGTAGCTTGAAGCTATAGGTTGCTTAGCATTGGTCATAATACGAAGAACAAGTTAACATACAGCTCTATTCTCTTCCAACCTTCCTCCTCCGCTTGTGCGAGGACGGACGCTCCGTCTGCTTCTGCACCTGCAGCTTTCATGTTTCCATGTTGGTCATAATACATTATTGAGGGTATCTTTGAGTTTCCGGCTACATGTTCCTGTCCGGGGAATCTGAAGCGCAAATGAACACCCGAGATCGCGAAAGTAGGCAGGGAGGACGTACCGGGTTACACCGTGTATCTTGGGAACCTCGCCGGGTTCGAGTATAGCATATGATACACCACTAAAAGTCGTTCCAATATCGAGAGCGATAACGAGAGAGCGGGTGGTCCCGCTGTAGGGTTTCCTGGTGCCCCCGCTGGGCGTCATGACGGTGGGGAAGGAGGGGGTATCGTATCGTGTCGGTGCGCGTGAAAGGTGATATGAAGCGAGGGCTCAGCCTGCCTGCAAGCTTATAAGGCTAGCAGGGCCCCGGAGACGGAGAGGAAAAGGGAAGAGGGTGAGGTGACCTGCGAGAAACACGAGGCCATGACCTGGCCATGGCTGATTTTTTTGGGCGATTGTGACGAGTTCCCACCGCACTGCCAGAGCTGCCCATACTTGTCCGACACGCACAACACACGAGGGCGAGGGTTGACTCGGACGTCGAGGGGTAGGGCATTTGCAGGGTCTGAATGCTTAGAGGACGTTGTCGGAGATATCTCACTGGGATCGTCTGCGAGATGGAGCGCGATTTGGCATAGCCTGGATACGAATTGTAGCATTCGGGCATAACTCTGGAGAATCCCTAGATACACATTGCAGCGGCATGCATCAACTGCGCATGACGATGTTCTTGTCGAAGATGCTGAGGTGCTACCACAATCTTACACAACGCCTTCTTGGGCGACGCGTCTCGATTTGGCTCCGAGGTTCATGCCCGGAGGTTTCGCAAGCTACTTTGAGGGTAGCTACCACAACCAATTTGCAACGTTGTAAGTAAACATCTCCTATACAAATGTCCAAAGCCCCCTTCTGGCCGTTCCGTAAGAGGCTCGGAGCACGATGAGCCCAGATGCACGTGTAGAACACGAGGGGTCGCCCTCTTCTGCTGCACCAAAAACAGCGCAGTGACTAGGCCGAGGAGGAGAAATGAACTCGAGTGACTGATCCTCGTACCATCTCCTTCTCCTGCCCTCCTTCTGCCCTTCTGCTCACTGCACATTCCCCGCGTCACCTGCCCCCGGTCACCCATACAAAAGCAAGTCCGTGTTGGCTCCCCGCCCTGTAACGCCTCTCCCACTCCCTTCCTCTTGCTAATTATCTTATTCCTTTTTTCACAATGCTTGTGCAGATATCTCCAAATACCACGATTGAATACCTCTCTGTCAGAGGTCCCAGCTACCCCTCATCGGGTTCACGCGCCCGCCACCAAACGAGTGCGCCGGCACCCCCCAGCGACTTGTTCTCATCCGGATATCTCTCGGACGAGTACCCCATCACGCCAACTGCAGACCCCATCGCCCGTCTCACTCGCGAGTGCAGTGCACTCCGTCTTAGGCTAGCCACTGCAGAACGTATAGAACGCCAAGGTGCTACTCCTACACCTGGTAATACCCCGAGGCTTGTACCGGCTCCTACACCCTTGCCCTCGGCTAGAACACCGCCGTCTACCTTTGGTAAATTACCCTTTGAACCTCCCCCACCTCCTCCTCGCAGCTCGAGAAGAAATCGCCATCGGAGCAAGCAGAGTAGTGTTCTTTCTTCTGTTGCTCCGTCTACCATTACCGTGTCAAGCACGCGAACAAGACATAAAGGCTCTTCGTCCATTTCTTCAATCTCGGACGTTGAGACCGTCGTAGGGAGTCCTCCCTCATACTACGGCAAAACCAATAACAAATCCAGAGCTTCGTCTACGACCTCCAGGACTTTCTCGACTCTTTCGGACGTAGAGACAAACACTGTCCTTTCCACACGATCGAGTCAGAGCAGAGCACCTCCGTCTGTAGTGAGTACTCGTACTTCCGATACTCATACGCAAAGTCAGACTCGACGTCCGCAACCACCTCGGCTTCAAATACCCTCATTGAAACCGATACCCCGAATTACAGTGACAACGCCTAACGACATCACACCTACCACAACGACTGCAAGAAGCACTAGCACTGTTACAAGAGCTACCACCACGACGTCAAGACACGCACCACCGGCGCCGCCGCCCAAAAACATGAAACCCTCTGAACGGTGCAAACAGCTCGAGAAGACTCTGCGAGAGGTGCAAGAGCTTCTCCGAGTGAGGGATAGAGAGATTGAGGTGTTGAAGAAGGAGAGAGATAGGTTGATTGCGGAGCGGGAGCAGGACAGGAAGGTTGAAGCTGAGAGGGAAAAGCAGAGAGAGCGTGAACGCGAAGAGGAAAGGGAGAGGGAGAGGGAGAGACAACGGGAGAGAGAGAAGGAACGTGAACGTGAACGTGAGAGGGAGAGAGAACGTGAGCGTGAGCGTGAAAGAGAGAGGGAAAAGGAGAGAGAACGCGAAAGGGATAGGGAGAGTCAACGAGATAGATTCAGAGATTCGGACCGTCGTTCTGAGCGAGGAGGGTTCGAGCGTGAACGGGATTCTCGAAGACAAACGCGACCTCTATCATCCGTAACAGAGATCTCCGCTCTCGACAAACACCTTGCTGGCACTTCACCCCCACCACCCCCGCCGGCACCTCCACTCCCTCCACCGTCGCATAATCACTCTTCCCATTCCACAATAAGTAACGGTCTCGTGCGGCGAAGCAAATCCCAAGCACCCGTCTTCTCGCGTAACGGCAGTAGCACCACCATCACAAATGGGGATGACTACAGCACCTTGAACGGAAGCAACAGAAACACCCTCTACACCCACCACGCTCCTTCCCTCTCCCTCGAATCCGAACAAACAGCCCAACTGCGCTCAATGGATGTCTTCCTCACGAAGACAGATGGATGGTCAGGCGCACAAGTCATCCAAGCAGTTGAAGACCTCAACGCCGAGATCACACATTTCGCAGCTAGCGCTACAGAATCGGCTGTATTCGAGAGGAGACCTTCTGTTTCGCCCGGTTCGCCTACGCCTGGTCATTCGCCGGGACATGGAAAGGGGAGTAAACGGGGGAAGAATAAGCGGAACAGACATTCGATGGTGCTTGAGCAGCAACAACAACAACCGAAACAGCCAACGCAGGAACAACTGGATAGCGTCTCTTGGCTTGGACCTGCTTTCGCTAAGGTGCTTGCGACGAGAGACCATGCGCAGGATCCAATGTTGGTTCAGTTGGCGTTGCAGGCTAGTGTGGCGACATGTTGCGCGAGGAGTTTGAGTTTGTTTTGTGTTGGGTTCCCTGCGAAGCTTGATGGGTTGCTTTCGAGGATATTCGGGCAGATGCAGCTATCTGGTACGTTTCCTATTCTCCTTACACTTCACCCAATGTCGACTCTAACATTCGTCGCACAGAACCTCAACCAACATTCGCCCGCTGGCGATCCCTCACACATAAATCTATCCGAGCCCTCTACCCCGCCCTAGAAGAATACGCCATAACCGAGCTGGTAACCACGATGCTCCGTTGGTCCGCAGCCGTATTCACCCTCTCCGGATGCCCGACCTCTGCTCCTACCTCCCACCACAACAATCGTCACTCACGTGACATCGGGAAAGACCCCTTGTTGGGTTCACCGACGTTACGAGCGCAATTGAGGAGGATCGCGGAGGCTGTATCCCGGATTGCGAGAGTGACTCGTGAAGAGATCCTCTCGACTAACTTTGAAGTCGTCCTTATCGACCCGGGGTGTATATTCGAAGAACTCGGAATGACCAACGCGTTCTCGCATGCCTCGCCTTCTACTCACGCGAACGGACACGCGAACAAGAAGAATGGGGCGAGTGATAACAAGGAGAAGGGATGTGTGTTGTGTACGACGGAGTTGGGGTTACGGTGTGTTACTAAACGCGCCAGGACATATACCTCTGGTCTGGAGAACGGTGAGGAGAAGGTGGACCTGGAGAAGAGGCTGTTGGTCCCGCCGAAGGTGGTGTTGGATAGTGCCGTGGACGCTTTGGATTGACGGACATGTTCTCATTCTGACTCATGCGCGACCTAGCTTTCATGGATGTTAAAGTATTCAAGCAATATTGTATGAAATATACCCTATGTCTCGCGTCATTTTATGTCCACACCGAGTACATACTGCAAGGCATACACTATGCCTTCCCTACCACCCCTTCTCAACGCAAAGTAAAAAGTCAAGGTAAATGCAAAAAGAAACGATTTTAATGACTTGATTACGTAATAGGCACTACCAGGGTTCGAACCTGGGTTTCGGGAAACTAAAGATCCTGGTATCTTCAAAATCCCGAGTGATAACCACTACACTATAGTGCCGATGTGTGTGGATATCGTTAACGGAACCAGGATCAGAGTATCAATCGGTTTCGCAGCAATTTTTACTCAAAAACTCATAACCCGAGACATAGACGCCCAAGAGCTGCTAAGCGCGCGGTTTGTAATCATGTGATCGCGTTTTCTTCCGATCTACAGTGATCTCAGGTTCTTGGCTGGAGCTCAAACGGACTTGACTAGCTTGACTGCTCAGATCCCAGAACGCTTTCCGTCCGATAACTCAGAGTCTCCCTAATTTATATTCATTTCAGGGACTTTACAGCGCTGCCTGCTTGCAAAGCCTAGGCTTACAAACCCGTGTATTATGAGAAGCACGCATGCAGCATCTGATATCAGTGTCACCGTATGACGCCATGTGTAAAGAATGTACGATGCAACCTCAGTATGTCTCCGAGCCCTTCGTCTTGTTCTCCCATTGCGACGCAACTACCTCGGCAGCGATCCAAAATCAAGATCTAACTGCGCGCAGTTCTCTCAATGGCGGACTCTGAGGCGCAACTTCCCTATGACCTGATCATTCGTATTCTGGAACTGGTCGACCTCGAGCTGTACTATCCTACCTTATACTCGAGCTCATTAGTGAACCATACCTTCAACCAAGCTGCGCGGAGGTTGTTGTACAAGAAGGTCGTCCTAAGCCCCCCTTGGAGGATGACATTGGATTTGAGGCGGAGGGATCAAGAATTGGTTTGTCGTCTTCTGAAATTTCCGAGTAGCGAGAGACACTGCGGGAAAACTCACCTAACCCGGGCTAGAATGGTTTGTTCCAATCCGCAAGCTTGCCTCATAATGCGCAATATGTCTTGGAGCTTGAGATATCTGGTATGTCAACTCTCGGCTGCACTGAAGGGAAGGCTCTATAATGCTCCACTTGGCAGGCTATCTTGAAGGCCGCCCTCCTCCGCTCAACACCTTTCCCTCAACGCTAGCTCGACTAATTACAGACCTCTGGACAAATCTCCACTCGATAACCTTTACACCGCAAGAATACCCAGATGTTCTCATACCCAATACAATCACTGCGCTTCAGAAGTGCACCTTCCTGCGGTCCCTACACGTGAACAACGCATATTGTACTGAAGAAATCGCCCCACAGCTCATGCAAATCGAACGACTGGAGAGCCTAACTATCGAGAATCCGTCGAGAGCCATTCTAGGGCTCTTGCCGGAATGGCTCGAGAGGCTTGCGCCAACATTGGATGCGTTTAATTTGAAGGTCTGGGGGATCGGGACCCTCCCTTGGTCTCCATCATGTTGACGGATAGCTAATTGAGAAATTAAGGGAAATTGCGGTTCTGTGACACCTGGGGTGCTCCGCGCATTTGCGCCCCATCTGTCGAAGATACATACCTTTGGCCTTGGGCTTTCCTACTCCCTCATGCATGATGACGTCCTCTTGTTTCTGGAACGGATGCCGTGGCTGCATAACTTGGAGCTTCGCTACTATCTGGTAGGTTACCATCTTCTCGAGTCTCATGAAAGCACTCACATACCTCTCTCAGCAAATTCGAGAGCCAACCGTGCAAGTATCATTCCCCGCATTGCGTTCTCTCCTGGTCCGCCATACCCCGCTTTCGAACGATACAGACGCCAGGAATCTCTCGCAATTCATCGGCTACTTCTGCGCCGACTCTAAGTTGAAAAAGCTGATACTGGAAAGCGACGATGATAGAGAACGAGAGCCTGATGCAATGATGGATATGCTTGTCGGTCTCCTAGTCACGAGACACGCGAGTACTATATCGATTCTCCGGATGGATGCGCTGTTCATCAGCTTTGAGGCCTTGAAAGACCTCTGTGGAGCCTGCACACAATTAGTCGAACTTGGTGTTAGCTGTGACGGCGGGCCCGAAGTCTTGGTGCGTGCACATCTAGTGCTGTATTTTCAAGACGCAATAATTAAGGCAACGCAACAGCATGAACTCCCTGCCGTCACTCAGAAACTGACACGGCTATATTCGATACACCTGTCCTTCCTTTTCCCTATTACTAGTCTAAGTCCTGAACAGATCCGAACGTGGATGTCTAATGGGACACGGACTTTGCGTCGTCTATCCGTGAACGACCAGGATTGGAAGGTACGCCTTGCTTCAGCACGAGTCGCTCCCTCAAATGAATTCTTCGTAGGGCGTGTGGACAACCGGAGACGATAGGCGAGCAGTATTTGACGTGCAACAGGTCGCCCCCTTTGTCCCTCCATGGTCAAAGCAACATCGGCCAGCATGAAATCAATGAATGAAGTATATTTGCGTGTCGAGTCGTAACTGTACAACGTTCGGTTGCCTGTAACGAATTCCATAGAATACGTCTAGTGTACAATCGTCCTGATTCATGGCGTAAATAGACAACTATAGTACAAAGACTGAATAGGTGAAACCTGGTTATTTCAAGAGGACTTCCCTTCCACTCCTTGAACCTGCCGTTGGTGGGCAAGTCGGATCCTGAAGAAGACTGTGAGCTGCCTGATGCTAGTACAAATCATACACGACTTGTACTCACTGGTTCCGAGCGTTTAGGACACGCAATGTTCGCTCTCGTTCCAACTCGGTCATGTTCTGCCAATTGGCGATCCGTGACAGCGTCTGTGAACACGGCTGTTATCAGCACCAACGTATCGCAGGGAGAGTCGAGATACTTACACCGTCGCTATTGACCACCATAGGCCCCAGCTCATCGAATTTGATTGCGGTGTTGGACCTCGCATCCAACTTCACCGCGTCCCCCGCCTCCAAATCGGGGGCAGGTAGAAGGAAAGTTTCATGCTTCTCTCCCTCCTTTGATTGAACATTGGTGTTGGCCTGTTCGACGTTGCTCATGGCGAGTGTGTTCAGAATAGGGTATCGAGACAGCGAGAATTAAACAGAATAAGACAGCGGACGATCAACGTTGACTGAATCTAAAGATCAAGGAGCAAGTTGACTTCACTTTATATCGAGAAGAAACACAACATGTGGCTAGCCTTGAGCGCATGAGGACATCATGAAGTCACCAAACTTCGCTTGCCTTCGCCGGAGAAGCCTCGATGGTTCTGGTACCAGAGAAGTGCGGTTCCATATAAGGCAGCCCTAGAAGTACCGTACAAGTACGATACGAGCTTTTGCGGCCAGTGAGAGGCATAGAATCTCAAGTAAAACTAGCGGGATAAGCTATCGTCCCTCTGTCCAGACCTGTCGGAACGCGACAAATACTGTTTGACCAGAATGCGCCAGCCTGCGTGTGGCACTGGGTTGGTAAGATCTTGAGACGCGGAAGAGCGTGGTCTCGTACCCATCCGTTCTGGAGAACGTCTGGGGCATTTTGGCAGAGGACCCCTACCGTAGAGCTAGCGCCCAGTTGTAACGGTCACATCAGGTCTCGTGCCTGACTTCCCGGTGGCCTCCGGTGGCGTCTCAAGATTGAGTTGCAAGATCTGGTCACGTGAATGGTGCACCAGCAAACGTCTCTGCAGTTGGATCTCGCTGACGGTAGAGCCTGAGCACAGCCAGAGTTGAAGAGAAATATTGTATAGTACAGCACAAAACTCTACTACCTGTTTTTGAGCCTTTTAGAGAGAAGATAATGTATTTTGACAGTGGCAGAAGCAGTACTACTACACTTTCCAGGTGAATCTGCACTTGTTTGATGTTTGTATGAGTCCTGCTGACATCCGTGTGGTTTTTATAGGTATATAACATCACTCAGATATCGATCGTCCAAGTTTTATGAGCATACAGAGTCTCCAACTGACAAGACAACTCAAAGCCATCGCAGCAAGGAGAATTGAGACTGCGAGACTTTATCCAGAATAGGCAAGATCCCAAAAGCCTATCTCCGTCCCATCAGGCACGAGGCGTGATGTGACCGTTACAAGTCGGCGCTAGCTCTACGGTAGGGGTCCTCTGCCAGAATGCCCCAGACGTTCGCTGCGGTGGTGGGGTGCGAGAGAACGGCTGGGCACGAGACCAAGTTTTGCCGTCCTTTGTGGCACCTTCCTCGAGGCGCGTTTGTTCTACTACACTCACCATCAACACGACCGCAACTTCCTCTGGCCGATAACCACCACAGTTACGCCAAATCAACATGCTGCTGACTCCCTCGATTACTCCTCCTCCTTCTAGAACTGATTCACATGGAAAGGCCATGCCTAGGAGATCATCCGGTGTCCTCTCTGACAGGACGAACACAACACCAGAACCTCAAGCCAACCATCCTTCCGCAAAGAATGCTACCGAAAAGAGACCGCAGATGAAACCGAAACGTTTCAATATCCCTGTCATGACTCTCGACTCGCCTACAATATCTAGTGCGATGGCTGCGCGGCTCGCCTCGTCTGTCGTCTCGCATGTCCTATTCTTGAAAAGTCAAATCCCATTGTGAGTAGAAGCTCACATAAACCAATTCTACCTACTGACAGGAATCTTTACTACAGTCCCGTAGCTCAACTATCAAGGATGCCCGGAAACCACGCAGACACACGAGCAGCCAGGAAACGAGAAGATCTCATCGGCGCGATCGATACCCTAACTTCACATCTCCAGACCACTTTCGTCGCTCTCTCAACGGCCTTCGCCCGAAGGGAAACAACGTCTCAGAAAATAACACCCTTCGATAATATTCCTCCCACTCAGGTACATCTGGCCATTGTTCTTGGACCCAGTGTAGGCGCGGCGAAAGCACGGGTCATAATTGTGTTTGACGGCTTGGAAACCAAAGTGTGGGGCATACAAGGTCGCGCAAATGCTTGGAATATCCAGGAGAACGACCCGGCACCTCAAGATGAGGAAGGAGACGAGGACGAGGATGGGGAAGAAGACGAGAGTGGCACTACTGATGGGGGAAATGAGGATTCGGAGAGCGAAAACGAACCGAGTGACTCGGAGGAAGGATCTGAACCCCCACTTTCGCGCTCACCTTCTCCCTGCCATTCGGATGAGGGGACCCCTGCTCCTGTAGAGAGCAGCCAACCATTCCAAATTCTTCGTGATTCTCCCCCACGATCACTC